AAAAATAATAATAAAAAGCATCCAAATCAGAAAGTAATAAGTAAAATTGTCATTATTTGCACATTGCATGATCTTATACATAGGAAACCCTAAAGGCTACACATATACACTATTAGAAAGAATACATAAATTCAATATAATTGCAGAATACAAAACCAACACACAAAAATCCATTGCATTTCTATACACCAATAATAAATGATCAAAAAAATCAGAGAACAATTCCAAATACAATAGCATCAAAAAGAAAAAAAAAATACCTAGCAAATAAATTTAACCAAGGAGGTGAAAGACTTATACACTAAAAACCATAAAACAATGATGAAAGAAATTAAAGACACAAATGAATAGATAGACATCTTGTGTTCATGGATTGGAAGATAATATTGTTACCATGTGTAGACTACCCAAAATGACCTAGGAATTCATTGCAATTCCTATTAAAATCCCAATGGCATTTTTTACAAAAATATGAAAAATAATTCTAAAATTCATATGGAACCATAAAGCACTCTAAATATCCAAAACAACCTTAAGAAAGAACAAAGCTAAAAGCATCACATTCCCTGATTTTAAAACATATTGAAAAACTACCATAATTAAAATAGTATGGTAATGCCATGAGGACATACATGTACAACAATCATACAGAATAGAGAGCCCAGAAATAGACCCACACATGTATAGTCAACTTATCTTCAATGAGGGTGGCAAGAATACGCAATGAGAAAAGAATAGTCTCCTCAACAGATGAGGGTGGGAAAACTGGATATCCACATGCAAAAGAATGAAATTAGATCCTTTTCCTACGCCATACAAAAATATCAGTTCAAAATACATTAAACGTTTAAATGTAAGATCTTAAACTTTAAAACTCCTAAAAGAAAATAGAGGGAAATCTTCATTACAATGGTCTTGGCAATGATTTCTAGGCTATAACACCAAAAGCATAGGAAACAATAAAAAATAGATAAGTTGAACTATCTATGAAGAGAATGACTAAACAGAGTGAAAAGACAACCTAGGGAAAAGGATAAATATATCTGCAAACCATATTTCTGATAAGGAACTAATATCCAAAATATATGAAGTACTACTACAATTCAACAGCAATAAATAAATAGCCCGATTTTAAAATATGCAAAGGATTTGAATAGAATTTGTTCAAAGAAACCAACAGGTATGTGAAAGTTGCTCAACATCACTAGTCAACAGGGAAATGCAAATCAAAACCACAGTGATATTATCACTTCGCACTTGTTGGGATGGCAAATATCAAAAAAATAAATAAAGAAGTAAATAACGAGTGTTGACAAGGTTCTGGAGAAACTGGAACCCTTCCTTGCACACTGTTGGTGGGAATATAAAATGGTGCAGTCGCTATAGACAACAGTATGAATTTCCTCAAAAAATTAAAAATTAAACTACCATATGATCCAGCAATCCCACTTCTGGATATTTAGCCAAAAGAATTAAAATCAGGATCTTGAAAAGAGATTTGCCCTGCCATGTTTACTGCACCACTATTCACAATAACCAAGATGTGAAAATGACCTCAGTGTCCATTGTTCAGTGAATGGATAAATAAAATGTAGTATATACATACAATGAAATGTTATTCAGCTTTAAAAAAGAAGGAAACCCTGACATATGCAACAAAAATCCTAACATATGCAGCAGCATTGATAAACTTTGAGGACATTATGCTAAGCCACAAACTGACAAGTACACATGGTTCCACTTACATGAGGTATCTAAAAGGGCCAAATTCATAGAAGCAGAAAGTAGAATGGTGGTTGCCAGAGGCTAGGAGGAGGAGAAATGCAGATTGATGTACAATAGCTATAAAGTTTCAGTTAAACACAATGAAATATTTCTAGAGATCTGCTGTAAAACATTGTGCTTATAATCAACAGTACTGTACTATACATTTAAAAAATTTCTTAAGCTGGTAGATCTCATGTTAAGTGTTTTTACTACAATTTTTTTTAAATAAAAGAATTTCAATAAGCCAACTTGTAGGGCAATTTAGCTAATAGCACGTAACCATTGGGAATAGGCCCCCACATGTATTGTGACCCTCTGGTCCCAGCACAACTCTTCCATCATAGTAAATACTGAAAAAAATAGATGCTGAAAAATTGAAAGCTCAATTAAGTCCATATTTTTATAGATGTATTTCCACAATAATTTTTTTTTAATTC